GTCTGCCCCTATGATTCAGTAACCTCCCATCAGGCCCCTTCTCCAACACTGGGAATTACAATTTAACATGTGATTTGGGTGGAGACACAGAGCCAAACCATATCACTGAGAAAACTGGAGGATATCCACATGCAGAAGAAAAAAACTAGACCGCTATCTCTTGCCATGTACAAAAATAAAAAAAAATGGATTAAAAACGTAAACCTAAGACTGCAAACTATGAAAATATAACAGGAAAGCATTTGGGAAACTCTCCAGGACATTGGCCTGGGCAAAAATTTGTTGAGCAATACCCAACAAACACAGGCAACCAAAGCAAAACTGGACAGATGAGGTCACATCAAGTTAAAAGGCTTCTGCACAAGAGAGGAAACAATCAACCAAGTGAAGAAACAACCCACAGAATGGAAGAAAACATTTGCAAACTACCGAAATGACAAGGGATTAATGACCAGAATATATAAGGAGCTCAAATTACTCTATAGGAAAAAAATCTGATAATGATTAAACAATGGGCACAAGATTTTAAATAGGCATTTCTTTAAAGACATATAAATGTCAAATAGGTATTCAACATCACTGATCATCAGATGACTGCAAATCAAAACTACAATGTGATATTTCAGCCTAGTTAAAATGGATTTTATCAAAAGCCAGGCAATGACAAATGCTGGTGAGGGTGTAAAGAAAAAGGAACTCTGGTATGTGTTGGTTATACAAATTAGTACAGCCATGATGGAGAACAGTTTGGAGGTTCCTCAGAAAACAAAAAATAGAGCTACCATACCATTTGGCAATCCCACTGCTGGATATACTCAAAAGAAATGAAATAGTAGATCAAAGAGATATCTGCACTTCGTATTTGTTGCAGTACTGTTCACAATAGCCAAGATTTGGAAGCAACTTGTTTCCATCAACAGATGGGCATGGTGGCGTGTGCCTATAATCCCAGCTACTCAGGAGGCTGAGGCAAGAGAATTGCCTGAACCCAGGAAGCGAAGTTTGCAGTGAGCTGAGATCGCGCCATTGCACTCCAGCCTGGGTAACAAGAGCGAAACTCCATCTCAAAAAAAAAAAAAAGAAAAAAGAAAATGTGTACTACTGAAATGAAGTACTATTCAGCCATTAAAAAGAACGAGATTCTGTCATTTGCAACAACATGGATTGAACTAGAGGTCATTAGGTTAAATGAAATAAGCCAGGCACAGAAAGACAACCATTGAATGTTCTCATTTATTTGTGGGATCTAAAAATTAAAATAATTGAACCCATGGAGATAGAGAATAGACGGATGGTTACCAGAGGCTGAGACTGGTAGTTGGGGACTGGGAGGGAGGTGAGGATGGTTAATTGGTTAAAAACAATAGAAAAAGTAGATAAAATGTAGTATTTGATAGCACAATAGCAGGACTATAGTCAATAATAATTTAATTGTACATTTTAAAATAACTGAAACAGTATCTTCAATTATTTGGAACACAAAAGATAAATGCTTGATGGGATGGATACCCAATTTTCCATTATGTGCGTATTTCACATTGCATGCCTGTACTAAAATATCTCATGTACCTCATAAATATATACACCTCAAAAATTAAAAATTAAAAAAAATGTTTAAAAGACTAATTTAGATTATGATATAATGGCCCTGAAATAGAGGAGTTTTACGGATGCTGAGCTAGATACGACCTAAGATATTGTCAGCAGAGACAGTATATGTGGAGAATCAGAAGCACAGTAAAATGTTTCTAATATTTTTACAATCTTCAGTCTGTAAGGGCCAGAGAAGAAGTGTATATACCTATACAATCACTGACTCAAATGCAGCACCTATGGATCCCATGTTATTTTATACTAAAAAACCTAAACCTATCCCAGCTGCCCACAACAGACATGACCAGGGAAAAGAAAGAGAAGGCTTGAAAATCAACACTGCAGCACATATCGTGGTAGGGCACAGAATTTGCAGAGGATGCATCTGCCTGTAAGACATAGGCTCCTGCAGTACATGTAGTACTGAGATCAGTTTCTCAAGCAGGACTTCCCCTAGACCAGAAGAAACAATCTCAAACATTCATTATTATAAGTCCAGCAGATACTATCTCTTTAATAACCACATTTAATGCAAAGGACTTTCTACAGAATCTAAGATTTGGCCCATCAGATGAAGAGGAGAACCTAGGCTGCCAATGAAATGAAAATAAAATGAAACTGTAATTCAGACAAGATAAGCACAGATGCAGCCAGAGGGCACTACAGTTTGTTGTCACCATTTATTACAGAGTAGTAGACCAGTATCTTAAGCATATTAATGTATGACTGAGTCTGGGAAGTGGTGGGACCAGGTTGTAGCAGTTTTAGTACAGTTTTGAATTGTGTGATAGTTCAAAAATTTACTGTATTAAAGACTTTCACGCTAAATGTGATGAAATTTGTTTAGAAACATATGTTCAAAATGAGATGGAATAAGATTAGAACTCAGCTATCACAAATATCATTTGGGTAGACCAGTTTGCTTACATTTCTTTTTCTTTTTCTTAATTTGGATTAAGAAACATGAGTATACCTTGATCTAAAGGCTGAGACACAAGATTTATGAATTTACCAAGAACATACAATTGAAAAAGATTACAGACTGATCTTTTTAAGACCTTATTTGATGCTTCAAAAGGATCAATATCCATGATGAACATAGATGCAAAAATCTTCAATAAAATATTGGCAAGCCGATTGCAACAGCAAATCAAAAAACTTATCCATCATGATCAAGTAGGATTCATCCCGGGGATGCAAGGCTGGTTCAACATACGCAAGTCTATCAGCGTAATTCACCACATAAACAGAACCAAAAACAAAAACCACATGATAATCTCAATTGATGCAAAGAAGGCATTAGACAAAATTCAGCAGCCCTTTATGCTAAAAACCCTCAATAAACTCGGTATCGATGGAACGTATCTCAAAGTAATAAAAGCTATTTATGACAAACCAACAGCCAATATCATACTGAATGGTCAAAAACTGGAATCATTCCCTTTGAAAACCGGCACTAGACAAGGATGCCCTCTGTCACCACTCCTATTCAATATAGTACTGGAAGTTCTAGCCACAGCAATCAGGCAAGAAAAAGAAATAAAGGGTATTCAAATAGGAAAGGAGGAAGCCAAATTGTCTCTATTTGCAGACGACATGATAGTATACCTAGAAGACCCCATCGCCTCAGCCCAAAAACTCGTGAAACTGATAAGCAACTTCAGCAAAGTCTCAGGATATAAAATCAATGTGCAAAAATCACAAGCCTTCCTCTACACCAATAACAGACTTAAAGAGAGCCAAATCAAGAACGAACTGCCATTCACAATTGCTCCAAAAAGAATAAAATACCTTGGAATACAACTCACAAGGAACGTAAGGGACCTCTTCAAGGAAAACTACAAACCACTGCTCAACAAAATCAGAGAGGACACAAACAGATGGAGAAACATTCCATGTTCATGGTTAGGAAGAATTAATATCGTGAAAATGGCTATACTGCCCAAAGTAATTTACAGAATCAATGCTATCACCATCAAGCTGCCATTGGCTTTCTTCACAGAACTGGAAAAAGCCACCATGAACTTCATATGGAACCAAAAGAGAGCCTGCATAGCCAAGTCAATTCTAAGCAAAAAGAACACAGCGGGGGGCATCACACTACCGGATTTCAAGCTATACTACAAGGCTACAGTAATCAAAACAGCATGGTACTGGTACCAAAACAGAGATATAAACCAATGGAACAGAACAGAGGCATCGGAGGCAGCACAATATATCTACAATCATACAATCTTTGATAAACCTGACAAAAACAAGCAATGGGGAAAGGATTCCCTGTTTAATAAATGGTGTTGGAAAAACTGGCTAGCCTGTGAAGAAAGCAGAAACTGGACCCCTTCCTGACACCTTACACTAAAATTAACTCCAGGTGGATTAAAGACTTAAACATAAGACCTGGCACCATAGAAACCCTAGAAGAAAATCTAGGCAAAACCATTCAGGACATAGGAGTAGGCAAGGACGTCATGACCAAAACACCAAAAGCATTGGCAACAAAAGCCAAAATAGACAAATGGGACCTAATCAAACTCCACAGCTTCTGCACGGCAAAAGAAACAGTCACTAGAGTGAATCGGCAACCAACCGAATGGGACAAAATCTTTGCAGTTTACCCATCTGACAAAGGGCTGATATCCAGAATTTACAAAGAACTCAAACAGATTTACAGGAAAAAAACCAACAAGCCCATTCAAAAATGGGCAAAGGATATGAACAGACACTTTACAAAAGAAGACATACAAGAGGCCAACAAACATATGAAAAAATGCTCATCGTCACTTGTCATTAGAGAGATGCAAATCAAAACCACATTGAGATACCATCTCACACCAGCTAGAATGGCGATCATTAAAAAATCTGGAGACAACAGATGCTGGAGAGGATGTGGAGAAGTAGGAACACTTACACTGTTGGTGGGAGTGTAAACTAGTTCAACCATTGTGGAAGACAGTGTGGCGATTCCTCAAGGTCTTAGAAATAGAAATTCCAATTGACCCAGCAATCCCATTACTGGGTATATATCCAAAGGACTATAAATCGTTCTACTATAAGGACACATGCACACGAATGTTCATTGCAGCACTGTTTACATTAGCAAAGACCTGGAACCAACCCAAATGCCCATTGATGATAGACTGGATTGGGAAAATGTGGCACATATACACCATGGAATATTATGAAGCAATCAAAAATGATGAGTGTCGTGTCGTTTGTAGGGACATGGATGAATCTGGAGAACATCATTCTCAGCAAACTGACACAAGAACAGAAAATGAAATACCACATATTCTCACTCATAGGCGGGTGATGAAAAGTGAGAACACATGGACATAGGGAAAGGAGTACCACACACGGGGGTCTATTGGGGGGAAGAGGGGAGGGACAGTGGAGGGGGGCTGGGGAGGGATAGCCTGGGGAGAAATGCCAAATGTGGGTGAAGGGGAGGAAGGCAGCAAAACACACTGCCATGTGTGTACCTATGCAAATGTCTTGCATGTTCTGCACATGTACCCCAAAACCTAAAATGCAATAAAAAAAGAGGAAAAAAAGATAACAATTCTAGTTAAAATATAATTCTGTATATAAAGCAAACCAAGATAAGATGCAGTTTTTGATGAGAGAATAAATTATAATAAAGACATAAAGTTGTAGTTTTACTGAGAAAAATAATGATTGTATGTAATTTGGAGGCTACTTAAAAGTTATTCATGAGCCTGTAATCCTAGTACTTTGGGAGGCCAAGGCAAGCAGATAACTTGAGGCCAGGAGTTTGGGACCAGCCTGGCTGAGGTGGTGAAACCTCATACCTACTAAAAATACAAAAATTAGCTGGGCATGGTGGCACACACCTACAATCTCAGCTACTCAGGAGGCTGAGGTGAGAAGATCCCTTGAACCTGGAAGCCAGAGGTTTCAGCGAGCTGAGATCATGCCACTGCACTCCAGCTTGGGTGACAAAGTGAGACTATGTCTTAAAAAATCCAAAAAGGTTATATATGAAAGAAGGTAGAAAGGAACCAGTAAGGAGGAGAGAGTTGTGAAGAAAATTATTAATATAAAGGTGTATTTTTGGTAGGGAAGATCATAATGAAAATTTAAATTCTGTATGTGATTAAGTTGGTGATAATTAAAAGTGAATTACTTATAATAGTCTTTCTAAGATTGATATCTAACATAGTTTAGATCTTTGTTCCCACACAAGTCTCCTGTCAAATTGTAATCCCCAATGTTAGAGGTCAGGTCTGGTGAGGGGTGATTCAATTATACAGGTATTTTTCATGAATGGTTAAGTCCATCCTCTTGGTACTGTCCTCATGTTAGTGAATGAGTTATTGCAAGATCTGGTTTATAAAAATGTTGTAGCACCTCTCCCCTCTCTCTCTGGCTCACTCCCCTCTCATTTTCTGCCATGATTGTAAGTTCTCTGAGGTCTCCTCAGAAGCTGAGCAGATGCCAGCTTCATGCTTCCTGTACATCCTGCCAAACTGTAAGCCAACCAAACCTTTTTTCTTTCTTTTTTTTATAAATTACACAGTCTCAGATAGTTCTTTATAACAATGAGAGAACAGACTAATACAGTCACCTATGTTAAAGTTTTTGCTTTTTTGAAATCTTTGAGCTATCACTTTTTGCTAATTGAATGACTTACTTTACAGTGACTTCTAATCCTATTTTGTGATATCAAATGTTTAAACCTTTGATATTTGACAAACTTTCCAAAATCAAATTCTAAATTCAATCTTATGACCTCAAACTAACTTTTTAGAGCTCCAAGTGGGATGTATTGAGTCAATTAGGCCTATTAAAATCATAGAGGAAGCATTGTGACATATAAAGTTGTATTTAACTTTCTTTGGGTTATATTTATATAAATGTGTCATTAGTATGTATTCCAAAATTATCTGAGATTCCTATAATTCTGACTTGTCTTAGTAAATGTTATCAGTAATAATAATTATGTTAAATTTTGTATTGCACAGAAGTAATTACATTTCCTTGTCAGTTGTACTTTTAACCATGACTGTCGTAAGACTTTCATTATTCACAATCATTGTTTTACTTTAATTCTTCTCAAAAAGTAGTTTATTATCAGCTACAGTTCAAAACATGTTTCTTTAGGGAGTTCACAAAAAGGACTTGGATGAGTGTTCTTGAATACAGATTTCTGATAACTTTGGAGATTTTGCAATTGGACTAGAGATAAAATTCTAGACTCTTAACTAAAAAGCTGATGTATTCATTATATGTGTAACCAAAACCACCTGTCCCCTAAAAACTAGTGAAATAAAAAATAAATAAATGAACTAAATAAAGTTAAAAAGAGAGAATAAAATTTTATATAACCTCACTAACCTACCTCTCATGATAAATCCTGCCACTGGTTGAGAAATTATCATAATCTACAAAGTAGAGGGCAGTGTAACTGAGCGTCAAATGCAAAATCCCCAAATACCAACTTCACTAGGAGAATGCAGGCTTCTGAAAGAATTTCCAGCAAGATACAATAAATATATTAAGATAAGAGCAACAAGAAAAGGCTGATGTGTTCCTTTTTCTGACTTGGATTCGATTAAATTGCTACTACCATTTTCCTGAGGCCCTGCAAGCTGAATCTTATGCCTTATGATACAGGTAAAAACTAAAGATGCTTTTAAGTCTTGCATCTGGGAACCTCAGTTGAATACCCTCTAGACTCTAAGAAAACTGATTTATAGATTGTTACCAACAATAACCTTTGTTGTTCTTCTGTTTGAAAACACATCTGCAATGCCATCTCCCAAAACAAGATGCAGCTGTTTAATGGGACTTGGCTACTCCCAGACTGGTTATATTTAAATGTTAAGTCTCTCCTCCAAGGTAAACATAGATTATATGATACATTCATGTGTGTTTAATATGCATGTGTCAGAACCATGTTCATGAATAATCATAGATTTTCCCATAACCTGTTAAATACGTATGTTTAGCTAACCTGTTATATCCCCACAGGAACCCCAGATACAACTGGCAATGGAGAACAAACTTACTGAATTCCTTATTAATAAGGGAAGGACATATATTCTGTAGTTTATACCCATCTATCCTATGATTCAAACACTATGGTGGTTATACAGGTGTCAGGGGAAGCTATGACTTACCCCTTAGTGCAATCCTTAGACTGTCATCTTGGAGACCGGAATTGTTGGGAAAAACTAAAAAGATGAACTATACTCTCAAAAGAAGCACTGCCAAAATATGTCAAGAAAGGAATTTGATTTGGGATAAGTCACTGCTGGTTGCCCTGTTGTGGATTAGAGTGGCTCTCTGAAGTAGGCTCAAATTGAGTCTCTTTGAAATTATTATATGGTAGGCTATTCCAGGTGACTGCTCAAGGGGGACAGCCAACTGATGCTTTAAGAGATTTAGCAATTGCCAAATATGTTAAGACCGGGCACTATACTAACTTCTGTTCATGAGTTTGCTTCTAGCAGGACCACTCATCCCATAGATGTAGCCCTAGATCATTTTCAACTGGGAGACTATGTCCTCCTAAAGACTGAAAAAATAAGGATTTGAACACTGACTTGCTACCAAGTTGACAGGACCATTCAAGGTGCTGTCAAATATTCACTCATCAGTTAAACTTGCTGGACTAAAGCCATAGATGTGTCATACTCAGGTCAGGGCAGCACAATCAGAAGAAACCAGGAAAACAAGGGGCTTGAGAGCCCTTGAAGGATCCAAAACTACTCTTTCATAAAAAAGATAAGTGAAATGAAAATATACATCCTTTGTCCTTTGGAGATTTTCATTTTCCTGGAAACACAACTCTTTAGTTAGGATCTCTCAATCTATTGCCTCTTCTCCTAAACTATCCCACTGCCAGATTTGTCATCCGAAGCCTTCTGACAGTTGTTCCTGTATACAATTTTACTTAGGTTGGTGCAAAAGTAGTTGTGGTTTCAGACAATGAATTTTAAAGCATTATAACTAGGCTCAAACACATCTTTCTTAATCAAAATAGGAACCCTTACAATCAACACATTTTTGCCAACAAGAAATAAGTTTGTTTATTCCTGTAGTTTAAAAATCTATGCTTACAGATTAGATGAACTCTTGGAATGCATTTTTTGCACTGTTTTCCCTGCAATATGTTGTTAAGATGCTTGAAGAAGTGGTAGTCAGTTGACAAGAGGTCAGGTGAATACGGGGGATGCGGCAAAACTTCGCAGCCCAATTCATTCAACTTTTGAAGTGCTGTTTGTGTGATCTGTGGTCAGGCATCATCATGGAGAAAAATTGGGCCCTTTCTGTTGACCAATGCCAGGCATTGTCATGGAGAAGAATTAGGCCCTTTCTGTTTACCAATGACAGCTGCAATGCCAGTTGCAGTTTTTGGTGCATCTTATTAATTTGTTGAGCATACTTCTCAGATGTAATGGTTTTGCTGGGATTCAGAATCTGTAGTGGATCAGACCAGCAGCAGACCACTAGTGACCATGACCATTTTTTGGTGCAAGTTTGGCTTCCGGAAGTGCTTTGGACCTTCTTCTTGGTCCAACCACTGAGCTGTTAATCACCAGTTGTTGTATAAAATCCACTTCTTATTGCACATCAAAATCCAATTGAGAAATGGTCCATTGTTGTTTCTTGGAATAAGAGAAGATGACACTTAAAAACATTTAAAAAAAATTCACTCAGCTCACAAGGCAACCACTTATTGAACTTTTTCAACTTTATAATTTGCTTCAAATGCCAAATGACCATAGAATGGTCAACATTGAGTTCTTTGGCAACTTCCCAAAGTGTAATTGTAAGAGGATCAGCTTTGATGATTGATCAGTTTCTGATGGCTGACCACTATGCTTCTCATCTTCAGGGTTCTCATCTCCTTTGCAAAGTAGATGAATCACCACTACATTCTACATTCCTTAGCAGTTCCTGGGCCAAATGCGTTGTTGATGTTGAGAGTTGTCTCTGCTGCTTTGTGACCCATTTTGAACTCGAATAAAAAAACTGCTCAAATTTGCTTCTTCTCTAACTTCATTTCCATCATCTAAAATAAATATAAAACAAATAGCAAGTAATAAGTCATTGGCAAAAAAAGCAAGAAATGTGCATTAAAATGATGTATAACATAACCACATTTATTTAAAAATGTATTCCAATATCAAACAGCAAATTTGAACAATGCAAAAACCACAATTACTCTTACACCAACCTGAAACCTATTTCTCCAGTCACCTATAGAATCTGATTAACAACTTAATACCCAGAGGTCCATGCTTCTTTCTTACTCAGCACTGCATTACATATTATGCACAAAGAAATAATAAGGACCCACAAGCCTACAAGTGTAATTTCTACCAAATAACTTCCCTAGGTTAAATCACCTGTTGCATCTACATTAATTTCTCCTCTAGAGACCCATGTTAATAAAATTATACAACAGGTTACCTGACTTCAACAAACCTTAGAACACCAAAGCAGACTTAATCTGGGCACTTTCCAGACTGATTTACAGACCTATTATCTGGGATTCCTAGTAGAATTCAGTTAATCCTGGAAAGCATTCTTAAATTGGGCCTTAATATTCTTCTTTTGGTCATGGTTGCCTACATACTAGTAAAACTTATTATATATTGTGTAACCAAAGTTTTCTTGAGTTTGACTAAAACTTTCAAAGCAAGAAATGAGATGCCCATGATCGTTGTTCCTAAAAGAAGCACTAAGGAATATTTCCTTAGGCAGCTCAAATGATTTTAGTCTACAGTTGCCCCTCATCAATCTTGTCCAGCAAGAAATAGGCAGATGTGAGACAAAATACCTTTGTCTCCAATCCCACGAGATTTTGGAATGATCTTTGACAGTGGGAAATTGTGGTAGTGTAAAGGATGTCTAGCATGACTAGTTCCATTTTGCTCCTAACCTCACCAGCACTCCCATCACCCTGCACAATGATATCATGTAGGTTAACTGCTTTTTATTATTTCTGCACATAGGCCAAACTAATTTTGGGAGGAATTTACAGTTTACCTTTAAAGCAAGGTTAATAGTCTCTTCCCAAAACTAACCACTGAGGAGATAAGGATGGTGTACACAGAAGTAACCATGTTATATTACAGATTTATAGGAGTATTGTGACCTGACCAAGGACAAAGCAGTTTCACAACCCTCCCTGAGACCCTTGCTGCCACCCAGATCTCTGTGATCATTGATCACCTCTTGATCTCAACCTCCTCCCTCTTCACCTTCCCCTAACATAAGGGGGACCTAAAATTCTCTTAACTAAAGATGGTTCTTTAGGACATTAATACACTATATTCTTGGTTTATTGCCTGTCCAAAATAAAGTCACCTTCCTTGCCTCAACACCTTGTCTCCCAACTTATTGGCTGTTTTGCAGCAAGTAGTATAAGCTTGGACCTCTTTATAATTCAGCAATATATATGAATAAAAACAGAAATTATATATATATATATATATATATATATATACATACATACATATATACGGGGAGAGGGAATATGTGTAAATGTGGGTGAATTTATGTAAAAGCTACATGAATGTCAATTGTAATAATCTTATAGATTTTTGGTAGGTCTGATTCTCTTTCAGAATAAAAATGTGTAATTAAAAAAATGTTGAGAGTTCTCTTATGAGAGGCGTTCATTCAGAGACTGAATGAATTTCTGAGTAATAGGGAGTTTTGCTTGGTTTAAAAATGGGACTACATGATTCCACTTTGACACTTAGTATGATGCTTAATTTTTTTTTTTTTTTGACACAAAGTTTCGCTCTTGTTGTTCAGGCTGGAGCACAATGGTGTGATCTTGGCTCACCACAATCTCCGCCTCCCAGGTTCAAGCAATTCTCCTGCCTCAGCCTCCCGAGTAGCTGGGATTGCGGGCATGTGCCACCATGCCCGGCTAATTTTGTATTTTTAGTAGAGACAGGGTTTCTCCATGTTGGTCAGGCTGGTCTCCAACTCCCGACCACAGGTGATCAGCCCACCTCAGCCTCCCAAAGTTCTGGGATTATAGGTGTGAGCCACCGCACCCAGCAGATTATTAGTTTTATGTGTCAAGTTGGCTAGGCCACAGTACCTGGATATTTGGTCAAACAGCAGTCTGAATGTTTTTGTGAAGGTAATTTTTTTACATGACATTACCATTTAAATCAGTACACTTTCAATAAAGCCGGTTATGCTCCACAATATGGTTGAGGTTCATTCAATCCATTGAAGGCCTTAGGAGAAAACACTGAAGTCCCAGAGGAAGAGGGAACTCTGCCTCCTGTCTTCAGACTGAAACTGCAACATCACCTCTTCCCTGGGTCTCAAGTCTGCCAGCCTATCCTGCAGATTTTAGACTTGTCAACCTCCATGATCATGTGAGCCAATTATTTAAAATAAATCAATGGTTTCTGTTTGTCTGGTGAATTGACTAATAAACTTAAATTCTATTTCCAACCGCCTCCTTGTAACTCCAAATATTCTTCTCAATTTCTTCATCTTCCCAGAAGCCTCTTACCCTCTCTCCCACTCCTTGTGTTCTGGGCCTGACATGTAATAGAAGCTCCTCCCTACTACCAACTATGTAATGCTAAGCTGAGAAGTAGCTGTTAGAGCTGTCTTTCAGAAGGTGCAGTCTAGAAACCAAGATATTATTTGTTATTCTTATTATTATAAGTTTTGGAATTACCAGGATTGCTATATAAAACATGTTAGAATCATTACTAGCCTGGAGCCTAACCTTTGAATGATGCATGTCTAATCACAGGGTATTAGTTCTTCAATGTCACCTGATTCCACTGCTGTGATATATGCCTTCATTAAGGTTAAGGAGAAAGAATTTAAATATCAGGGTTGAGCATCTGAGCAATTATGTCATTTCTACTGATCACCTAATGAAAATTTATGGCATTTAACAGTGAAGAAATCAGTTTACATAAGGGTGCTAGCTTCTACCACTGTGCTCATGCCATTTCCTGGAAAGCCTTCACCATATTTACTATAACAGTGCATTTTTAGGGGTCATCCAATTACAGAAAGCACACTATGGCTGAAGAAAGGTTGCGCAGTTTAGTTCTGCCATTTTGTTACAAAGTGATGTAAATAAAATTTAGACATTGGTCAGCATGATGAGAACCCAGGAAGCTGAAATGTAGAGTCTGGTTTTCTGCAGATGTCATGTTTTAGAGCAATCATAAAAAGTCCAAATAGGGAGGATAAATATGAGGACAGAAACACAGAGTAATAAACTAACACCTTGAAAAAAAGTAAAGAAGTGTATTGTATAGTTGAAAATTGTGAGAACTGTGTCACCTACAGAATCTAATTTATAGTCATCAGAGGAAATAAAAATGTTCCAAGAAGCCACAGCAACTGTTCCTGGCAGGCTACTGTGGACGTTGCTCCAGGCAACTGTGACCCTGCCATGATTTCAGAAGTTAGACATTACTTGCTAAACAAGAAACTTCCAATTTCTTTTTAAATTAATCATGAGGATGGGAAAGGGTAAAGTTTCACTTCTCTCGATTTTGCAGAGTCCTTTGAGCTCCAAAGCACACAGAGGGCCACAGGCATACCTTCTTTTCAGAAAGACCCTCTCTGACCTTCTTATCTAAAGCAGCACATTCACCCCATGGCTTTCCAACCCCTCACTCTGCTGTCTCCACAGAGCCTATTCCTGCCCAAGGATGGCAGGCTGGCAGCTGGTAAGGCCTATGACCTGAAGCTAGCAGCCTGCATGTACAGTCTGCCTCTGTGACTTGACAGCTGGGGGGCAGGGTAGAGAGGAGGAAGACTTTGGATAAGGTACTTAATTTTTCTATTCCTCAGTTTCTTCTTCTGAAAAAAAAAATAGGAATGTTAATAATGCCTACCTTATAAGATTTTGAGGATTATGTGAGTTACTATTGAAAGCCCTGGAAGCACTGTCTGGCAAATAGTCATATTCTGTGAAATAAAACAGGTGAGCAAAATGCATTCATTTTTCATGGTCTGTCCTGTTGGAAGATGAGCTCCACAAGAGAAGGGCCTTATCTTACACTCTATTGTATCATCAGTGCTTATGGCAGTGCCTGACACACAGTGAGTCTCAGTAAATGCCTGCAGAAGGTAAGGCTGGGAGGACTGTCAGCTTCTTCTGTGCTGCTTTCCCTGGTTTCTCTCCTTTCTTACTCAGATGACCTCATTTAGGTGATCTGGCTTATCTGTTTAGTTAGAAACTCATTGAAATATTTTATGCTAACAGATTCTCTAGGAATGTAATCTTGTTAATCCATTAATTCATTTATTAAGATCATATAGTTGAAGGCTTATAGTGTCTCCTGACTCAAATATATGGCCCAGAAACAATACTCAGCATGTATTTCAACTATAATGGGATGTCATTTAAATAACCTCTCTAGGCTAAGCCATTGGATACACAGGCCAGTGGGGAAAAGGGATAAGTTAGGAACAGTCACGGTTGAGACCAGGAACGAACTTGGCCATTGCATGTGCATGGGAGGGATGGCCTGCCTTCCAAATCATACAATAAAAGGCATCCAACCAAGCTGGCAGCTTTATCCAGGGTCTTCTCTGGTGAACAGAGTGCCACAGACCACCCTGCAGATGGGACAATCATTGGGTTTGGTCCTAGCTACATGGAGGGGCAAGAGGACCCATTTGAACTGAAGCCAGTCCTTAGCAACTGAGCTGGCTCAGGGTTCAACTCCAAGGAAGCTGGAAGTTGAAGTAGTCTGGACCTGACTAAGAATTCACACCTTCTCCAGCCCCAGATACATGGGTGTATTTTAGAACAGAGTCCAGTGCCAGCAGGAAAATGGAGACCTAATCAGTGACCAGTGGGCAGCTGCTGAGAGGACAAAGTCAGCCATATTGTGGTCTCCATGAAACCCTCGGTTTTGGTCTTTCCTCATTAAGGGAGCTGGACTCTCATGTGCATTTGAAAACCAACATTCCTTAGTTTTTGAAGATGTTCCTTATTACTTCTTTGGTAATTACCTCCTTTCCATTTTCTCTCTTTCAGAAATTCTTAATTAAATCTATCTCCTACTTTAATCCTCTAATTTTCTTATTATTTCTTTTTCTGTTTTCCTGTTAGAAGTCTGTAGGGGCTTTTGTTGTTTTTCTTCCTGGTCTAGTTTCTCAAATTCGTCTCCTATTGGTTTCAGCTTTCAAATGTTAACTTCCAAGAGCCTACCAGTTCTTGTTTCATGGATATTGTGTATTCTCTTGTCTTCCTCTGAGGAGTTTGATTATAAAGTGTTTGGGGCAGTTACTTTTCTTGTCTGTATAGTTGCCGAATCCTTTGAGTTCCTCTTTAGTTTTTACTTTTTTGTCACTGCCTTGCATGTTGAAGACTTCCTTGACATCTGCTCCTCCTTGTCAGTTCTCATCATAGTGAGGCCCTCGAGGGTGGAGAGAAGCTCTGTGTTCAAGGCTAGTCCTTGTTTCCTGTTTAGCTGCACTGTAGGATTGTGGGTAGAGATGGCCATTTTTTTTAATGACCTTCAAATACTGGCATCTGTGGATCTGTTCTCCTGCTCAATCTGTTTATCCAGAGAGCATCCTCCACTCTCCAACCTGAAAAGCATAAGGCTGGTCACCAGAGAATGGAGGTTGAGTTGGGCAGGGGCTCACTATTTGGTGTGTAGACTTTCACCGAATTCCCCGCTCTCATCCTCTTGTTTCACCTCCTCTTCTCCCAGCTGGTGTTCCTGAATCTGTCCCTTCTTTGGGAACTTCAGAAAGTTAATCAAGTCTTTCAAGCAAATTCTAAAGAACACAACGAATAGCTTACTCAGTGAGATCATTTTTACAGGGTTTCAAATCAGAACTTAAAGACATTTTTCAGGCTTCACCTTTTAAGGACAATGATTAAAAAGGGCTAAAAAAATCATAAAGAGCTTAGTAATAGAAGATCCTGATTGTGCAGGCTAGCATACTCACATGCATGCTCCCCAACACTTTAGGCTGTAGGACCAGGCATGGGGTGGGAGTGGAGGGGCAACCCAGGGACTTCTATGTGTGCTCTTGTTTTGGGTTCATAGGAAGAGACTATTGGGTAAGTCACTTTACCTTCACTGGTAAAATTAAATTAGAGGATTAGAGTATGGGATCTTTAGGCTCCTTTCAGCTCAAAGATCATCTATTCTATTCCACAATAATAAACTCATCTCATTTTTATCCCTGTGGATAGCTAGAATGAATGATAAAGAAACATCATAAATTCAACTTCAGGATATTAAGATGATATGACATGAATGTCACAAATAACGTCTCCCACATCTTGTGGTTTGATGGGACAAATGAAGAATCAGTGTTACTTGTGCTTTACACTTGTAGTTATTTAGGCTTTTCTTTCAGGCATGAAAAGACAAAGGCTGTAAAATGATTTCTTTAAGGCTTGTTAACAATGGTATTTTATATTTCAAAACCCGCATTATATATTTAGAAAGTAAGAGTGAAACAAGTCAGTGTGGGTGGCTGGGGATGAATTGGAATGTGTAATTACAAACATCACTTCTGAAGGGCAGCTGCAGGAAGCATGTTGATACGGTAGTGTTGGGGTCTATGAGCAGACACACATTTACACACCCAGATACACTCATGTGTGACCTTGGCATATGCCCTTTAAATGTCTGGAAAGGCTTTCAACACTACCTTTGTATACAGTGAAGTGTCCTAATAATCAGTCTTACAAGAAACGGAGACCTATTTCAGCAAAAGATGAAAAAAATAAAGAGAAGGTATTATTTCTCTGAAAAACCTGTGTCTTTCATAAGCTTAGATCCTTTCCCTCATACCTCTTTGGGGTAAGAGTTTTCTCAATTAGAAATGCTTTTATCTGCAGTTTGTAGGGGAATGGCCCCCTGGCACCCTTGCCGGTCTCCAAACAGGCAAGTGAGGCTCAGCTGCAGCCTGCTTTGCCTTGGTGAATGAACATCTTGTCATTCTCTCAGGAATTTGGCATGAGAGGCAGTTCTGTGTGGTGCTTTCAAGGCTGTTCCCCATTCACCTCACTATCTTGTGGGAGGTTGCCACAAGGCCATTTTCCATCTGTTTCCCTGGTTCTGGTGAGGCATGGAGTTTTCCTTCTGTCCCCCTTCTTCAGGAACTATTGCAGACTATAGAAATGCTTGGCTGGAGCCTAGAGTTGTTGACTTCTCAGCCACAAGGTAAGGAGTGACCCACTGCTGGTGTTCCCCATCATCTGCCTCCTTGGCTTGGTGTCATCCTGTGGAACAATGGCTGCAGGTAGCTGGCACAATGCTGATCTTTTATGCTGTCTGTATGAGTTATAGGTTTGTTATAACTCATATAACATTTGGTTTCCATTTTGGTTTGTTGTCTCCTTATCAGCTTAATCTTTAGAAATATGGCCAGCAAAGCTAGCAGCCATGCCCATGCTACTGATAAGTGACCTGCCTAACTGCTTGGTAGAAAACTCGATCAACTTAAAAAAGAAGGAATGTTTCCTTTATCCACATACCAAGAAGTCATGCCATAGGCAACTGTTAAGTCAGCAACATGATGTCAGGACTAATCCACTGCAAAAATTCCTCAGTCATCTTGGTCCTAAGATGGCTGTTCTGGTTCTGGACATCACATCACGTCTGCATTTAAGGCGAGATGAAGCAGTGAAAGCAGGAATCATTATCTGTCTGCTTTATTATGAAAGCAAAATCTCTCTCGGAAATGCTCCAGCAGACATCACCTTGTGCACTATTGGCCATAACAGGATCATAATACCCTGAGCTTCAAAGAAAACCAGTTTCTCAAAAAGACGAGCTAGATCAGCATGACTGGTGTATGCTAGACTAGACTCATCAGAGTACACACTTGGGCTGGTCTCCTTACCTTTGTGAACCAAACTTTAGTTTCACTGGTGAGACACAAGGAAAGGATAAGTTGGATAGGCAACAAGTTGTATGTGCCATTTGAACCAATGTTGCCAGTCCCAGCCTCTTACCCCAGCTCAGTAGGAAAGACCCATCAGTCACTGACTCTATTATCTCTTCTTGCTTGCACATCAACTATATCTCATATTTGAACTGACCAATAAATAACTGGTACATTGCAAAAACAATTTCCAGTTCTTCAGTAACTGTAAGTCTAATCTAAAAGAAATTAAGTTGAGAACTGTCACGATCAAGGACTATATATGCACCAGCCCCTGAACTACTTTCTTTTCTTACCAGACTACATCAAAGTTCAGAAGTGAATGACATTAGGTGAACGTTGAAAGTCTGATGCCACCATAAGCTTACTTATCTTTGCAGTATTCCAAATAAAATACATTTCTTTCAGGTAAGAGTACAACTATGGCCCCTCTTATTTAAGTAAGAAATTATTGGGATTATTGTCTGTATTTGGCAAATTGATACAAGAAAATGCCAACCTGTTTTGTCTGAAGGGTAGAAAGTTATTCAAATGCTAAGGTAGAAACTAATCCCTCAGGAGCTAGGCTATGAGAACTTAGCCTGCTTTTTCCTTCTGTCCCACCTGTCTAACCCTAAATATCCCTCAAGATGCTGCTTAAAAATAACTTCCTTTTTTCCATCTTTACTTCAGTGCTTACTGCCGGCATACTGAAATCATTTACTTACACATTTGTCTCACCACCACATCAGGAAATTTTCCAGGGGAACAGTTTTCTTAGCACAAAGTAGAATGCACAGTAGTAAGTTCTTAACATATTTTTGTTGAATAAAATCTATTTATATCTTTCTTGATGGCTGTCAAAAATCTAGTTAAACCATGAATAATTAATTACATAATTAAGTTCTAGATCTTCATTGGGGTACATCAAAATAAAAAGTGCATTTATGGGCCAAAAAAAAAAAAGATAAATAGCAAATTCAAAACAAGAAAAATATCTGCAACTCCTATCACATAAGTATGATTTATTTCCTTAATGTGTAAACCCTTAGAAATTGAGATGAAAAAGATCAATCAGCCAAAAGATAAATGAGTAAGGACATGAATAGACAGTTCACATAAAAATGACCCTTAGTAAGAAGACACTCAACCTTACCCATACTTTTAAAAATGCAAATGAAAACAATACTGAGAAGCCATTCTCATTTATTGTGTTGGCAAAAATTCAATAATGTACTCTATTAGTGAGACTGTGGGAAAACAGGCACACTCAACATTTCTGGAGGAATGCAAGTGGTAACAGCTCCTAGAGGGGACCATGTGGCAATTTCCACACAATATTACAAATGCTTTCACCCTTTAAATCAGTTAACCTATGATAGAGAATTTATGCTACAGAAATCTCTGCATGGTTACAAAATGGCATGCACAAGTCATGTGTTGTGGTATTGTTTGTAATAGCATCAGAGACACACCATTTCCATAAAGAGAGGACTGGTTAAATAAAGTGCAGTATGTCCTCAAAATGGAATACTAGGTAAAAGAATGAGGACACCCTCTTTGTTATATTGTGGGAGGGTATCAGGATAGATGGCTCAGAAGAAAAGTTCAGAATAGTGAACACATTATGATGCCCATAGTGTTATAAAGAAGAGGAAAAAAATATATACTTGTTTTGGTTTGCAACTGCATAAAGGTATACTGTGGAAAGGTATACTGTGGGGATGGGGGCCAACCAGGTGGATAGAATAGAAGCAAAACTCAATGTATACCATTTTTATTTTAAAAGTCTGTGAAATAAAAATAACAATAATAAACCTGTGAATTATTACTTATTAAAAATAAAAAAATTTAAATCCTACACTTTGCACATGGTGTTTAAAGCCCAACTGCATGTTTATATTTCTGCCTCACTTACTACATCAGTGAATTTTGGCAAATTTCTGAACCCCTCCCTGTCTTGAAGGAATTTGATGAGTTAATAAATACAAAGGAATTATTATATTTATTAAATAATAATTTAAAATTTATTAAAGCCTGAAACACAGTAAGTTCTACATGACTGTAGTCTGTTATTAATACTGCATTTAACAACAATTTTGAATAACTCTTTAGCCCTTTAGTGATGAGATTTTCTGGGGGGAGGACTCAAGATGGCGCTGTGAGAACAACCCAGGATTGAAGCTCTCGTTGAATCCGCGGAGAGGTGAGTCAGAGCTGCATTTCCAGACTGATCTTTGTTGCCCACAGAATGGGGAAATTCCCAAGTATAAAAGAGACGCGGGACGCCAGGCAGACATACCGCCTGGCGAAGCCGGCAGCTCGGGTGGCGGCGGCCGGCCCTACCCAGTGCTCCCCACAGGGTGCGCTTGTCTGGGTGCCCTGTTGAACTGGCAACCTGAGACTTGAGAGGGCTGGACTTGAGACTGAATGGGACTCAGAAAGTGGGCCAGCCCAGGGGATTGAGGGACACAGCGTTTGGGGTAGCCCAGTGGGATGGACAAAACCACAATTCCAAACACACCCTGTGCAGACGGTCCCTGAGATGCTCTGTGGGGGAGAGGCGTCCACCATTACCGAGGCAACCCGCCCCTACTGAGACACACGCCCACTGCTGATGCAGCCTGCTGTTGCCAAGGCAACCCGCTACAACAGAGAGACTCCGCCACAGGGCATAGCCCGTGGCGGAGACCACAGCAGAAGAACAGAGTCCGCAGCAACAGGGCGAACCACACAACAGCAGGGTGGAGCCTCGGCAGGCAAACAGTGAATACACTGCCTCCTAGCTGGGCAGGACACCTCAATGGACATCCAAAAATAAAGCCCGAACCCCCCAAGACAGAGCATTTGAGAAAAAAACGGTTTTTTTATGAGCTCTGTTGCAGCAGAATCAAACATAGCAGTCTAACAGCCCTGAATGAACAACAGAGCTCACAGCTCAGCAATTGAGCTCACATAAAGTACAGACTGTCTCCTCAAGCAGCTCCCTGACCCCTCTATATCCAAAAGACTGACATCTGGCAGGCATCATCCTGGGACAAAGATAGCAGAAAAAGAAACTGGTAACATCCCTAACTGTTCCGCAGCTGCTATAGGTGCACCCCAGACAAGCAGGGCCTGGAGTGGACCTCAGCAGTCATACAGCGAAGGGGCTAGACTGGTAGAAGGAAAACCAAGTAACAGAAATACTTCATCATCAACAATCTGGGTGTACACTCAGAGACCCAACCGAAAAGTCAGCAACTACAGAGATGACAAGTGGAGAAATCCACAAAGATGGGAAGAAACCAGCGCAAAAAGGAGGAAAACACCCAAAACCAGAACACCTCACCTCCTAGAAAGGACCAAAACTCCTCACCAGCAAGGGAACAAAGCTGGACGGAGAATGACTGTAACGAAATGATGGAATTAGACTTCAGAAGGTGGATAATGAGAAACTTTTGTGAGCTAAAAGAACATGTATTAAGTCAATGCAAAGAAACTAAAGAACTTGAAAAAAGATATGAAAAAAGATATGAGGAAATGATAACAAGAATAGATAACTTAGAGAGGAATATGAATGAATTAAAGGAGCTGAAAAACACAATACGAGAACTTCGCGAAGTATGCACAAGTTTCAATAGCCAAATTGACCAAGCAGAAGAAAGAATATCTGAAGTCGAAGACCAACTCAATGAAATAAAACGAGAAACCAAGATTAGAGAAAAAAGCGCAAAAAGGAATGAACAAAGTCTCCAAGAAATGTGGGACTATGTGAAAAGACCTAACCTACGTTTGATAGGTGTACCAGAAGGGGATGAAGAGAATGAATCCAAGCTAGAAAATACTCTTCAGGACATCATCCAGGAAAATTTCCCCCACCTAGCAAGACAGGCCAACACTCAATTGCAGGAAATACAGAGAACACCACAAAGATATTCAGCAAGAAGAGCAGCCCCAAGCCACATAATTGTCAGATTCAACAAGGTTGAAATAAAGGAGAAAATACTAAGGGCAGCCAGAGAGAAAGGTCGGGTCACCCACAAAGGGAAGCCCATCAGACTCACAGCAGATCTCTCGGCAGAAACACTACAAGCCAGAAGAGAGTGGGGGCCAATATTCAACATTCTTAAAGAAAAGAACTTTCAACCCAGAATTTCATATCCAGCCAAACTGAGCTTCAGAAGTGAAGGAAAAATAAAATCCTTTGCGAACAAGTAGGTACTCAGAGATTTTGTCACCACCAGGCCTGCTTTACAAGAGCTCCTAAAAGAGGCACTACACATAGAAAGGAACAACCAATACCAACCATTCCAAAATCACACTAAATGCTAAAGAGCATCAACATAATGAAGAATCTACAAAAACTAACGGGCAAAACAGCCACTGAGCATCAAAATGGCGGTATCAAATTCACACATAACAATATTAACCCTAAATGTAAATGGACTAAATGCACCAATCAAAAGACACAGACTGGCAAATTGGAAAAAAATCCAAAACCCATCAGTGTGCTGTATCCAGGAAACCCATCTCACATGCAAGGATACACAATGGCTCAAAATAAAGGGATGGAGGAAGATTTACCAAGCAAATGGAGAGCAAAAAAAAGCAGGAGTTGCAATTCTCATCTCTGATAAAACAGACATTAAACCAACAAAGATCAACAGAGACAAAGAAGGCCATTACATAATGGTAAAAGAATCAATAAAAAAAGAAGAGCTAACGATCCTAAAAATATATGGACCCAATGCAGGAGCACCCAGATACATAAGGCAAGTTCTTAATGACTTACAAAGAGACTTAGACTCCCACACAATTATAGTGGGAGACTTTAACACCCCACTGTCAATATTAGACAGATCAACCAGACAGAAAATCAACAAGGATATCCAGGGCTTGAACTCAGACCGGAAGCAAGCAAACCTGATAGACATTTACAGAACTCTCCACCCCAAATCCACAGAATATACATTCTTCTCAGCACCACATCACACCTACTCTAAAATTGACCACATAATTGGAAGTAAAGCACTGCTCAGCAAATGCAAAACAACTGAAATCATAACAAACAGCCTCTCAGACCACAGTGCAATCAAGTTAGAACTCAGAATACAGAAACCAACCCAGAACCGCACAGCTTCATGGAAACTGAACAACTGGCCCTTGAATGTTGACTGGGTAAACAATGAAATGAAGACAGAAATAAAGAAGTTCTTCGAAACCAATGAGAACGAAGACACAACATGCCAGAATCTCTGGGACACATTTAAAGCAGTCTCTAGAGGAAAGTATATAGCAATAAGTGCCCATATGAGGAGAATGGAGAGATCCAAAATTGACACCCTATCGTCAAAATTGAAAGAGCTAGAGGAGCAAGATCAACAAAACTCAAAACCCAGCAGAAGACAAGAAATAACTAAGATCAGAGCTGAACTGAAGGAGACTGAGACACGAAAAACCCTTCAAAAAATCAATAAATCCAAGAGCTGGTTTTTTGAAAAGATCAACAAAATAGACAGACCACTAGCCAGATTGATTAAAAAGAAAAGAGAGAACAACCAAATAGATGCAATAAAAAATGATAAAGGGGAAATCACCACAGATTCCACAGAAATTCAAACCATCATCAGAGAATATTACAAACAACTCTATGCACATAAACTAGTAAACCCGGAAGAAATGGATAAATTCCTGGACTCCTGTGTCCTCCCAAGCCTAAACCAAGAGGAAGCTGAAACTATGAATAGACCAATAACAAGGTCAGAAGTCGAGGCAGCAAGTAAGAGCCTACCACTCAAAAAAAGCCCAGGTCCAGACGGATTCACAGCCGAATTCTACCAGACACACAAAGTGGAGCTGGTTCCATTCCTTCTAAAACTATTTCAAACAATCCAAAAAGAGGGAATCCTTCCCAAATCATTTTACGAGACCAACATCATTCTGATACCACAACCCGGCAGAGACCCAAGAAAAGAAAACTTCAGGCCAATATCCATGATGAACATAGATGCAAAAATCTTCAATAAAATATTGGCAAGCCGATTGCAACAGCAAATCAAAAAACGTATTCATCATGATCAAGTAGGATTCATCCCGGGGATGCAAGGCTGGTTCAACATACGCAAGTCTATCAACGTAATTCACCACATAAACAGAACCAAAAACAAAAACCACATGATTATCTCAATTGACGCAGAGAAGGCATTTGACAAAATTCAACAGCCCTTTATGCTAAAACCCTCAATAAACTCGGTATCGATGGAACATATCTCAAAGTAATAAAAGCTATTTACAACAAACCAACAGCCAATATCATACTGAATGGGCAAAAACTGGAAGCTTTCCCTTTGAAATCTGGCACTAGACAAGGATGCCCTCTTTCACCACTCCTATTCAATATAGTACTGGAAGTTCTAGCCAGAGCAATCAGGCAAGAAAAAGAAATAAAGGGTATTCAAATAGCAAAGGTGGAAGCCAAATTGTCTCTATTTGCAGACGACATGATAGTATACCTAGAAGACCCCATCACCTCAGCCCAAAAACTCCTGAAACTGGTAAGCAACTTCAGCAAAGTCTCAGGATATAAAATCAATGTGCAAAAATCACAAGCATTCGTCTACACCAATAACAGACTTAAAGAAAGCCAAATCAAGAACGAACTGCCATTCACAATTGCTACAAAAAGAATAAAATACCTTGGAATACAACTCACAAGGAACGTAAGGGACCTCTTCAAGGAGAACTACAAACCATTGCTCAACGAAATCAGAGAAGACACAAACAGATGGAGAAACATTCCATGTTCATGGTTAGGAAGAATTAATATTGTGAAAATGGCTATACTGCCCAAAGTAATTTACAGAATCAACACTATCCCCATCAAGCTACCATTGGCTTTCTTCACAGAACTGGAAAAAAACCCCATGAACTTCATATGGAAACAAAAGAGAGCCCACATAGCCAAGTCAATTCTAAGCAAAAAGTACACAGCCGGGGGCATCACACTACCGGATTTCAAACTATACTACATGGCTACAGTAATCAAAACAGCATGGTACTGGTACCAAAACAGAGATATAGACCAATGGAACAAAACAGAGGCACCGGGGGCAACACAACATATCTACAACTATACAATATTTGATAAACCTGACAAAAACAAGCAATGGGGAAAGGATTCCCTGTTTAACAAATTGTGTTGGGAAAACTGGCTAGCCATGTGCAGAAAGCAGAAACTGGACCCCTTCCTGACACCTTACACTAAAATTAACTCCAGATGGATTAAAGACTTAAACATAAGACCTGCCACCATAAAAACCCTAGAAGGAAATCTAGGCAAAACTATTCAGGACATAGGAGTAGGCAAGGACTTCATAAACAAAACACCAAAAGCATTGGCAACAAAAGCCAAAATAGACAAATGGGACCTAATGAAACTCCACAGCTTCTGCACGGCAAAAGAAACAGTCACTAGAGTGAATCGGCAACCAACAGAATGGGAAAACATATTTTCAGTTTACCCATCTGACAAAGAGCTGATATCCAGAATTTACAAAGAACTCAAACAGATTTACAGGAAAAAAACCAACAAGCCCATTCAAAAGTGGGCAAAGGATATGAACAGACACTTTACGAAAGAAGACATATATGAGGCCAACAATCATATGAAAAAATGCTCATCGTCACTGGTCATCAGAGAGATGCAAATCCAAACCACATTGAGATACCATCTCATGCCAGTTAGAATGGCGATCATTAAAAAATCTGGAAACAACATGCTGGAGAGGATGTGGAGAAAAAGGAACACTTTTACACTGTTGGTGGGAGTGTAAATTAGTTCACCCATTGTGGAAGACAGTGTGGCGATTCCTCAAGGCCTTAGAAATAGAAATTCCATTTGACCCAGCAATCCCATTACTGGATATATATCCAAAAGACTATAAATCGTTCTACTATAAGGACACATGTACACAAATGTTCATTGCAGCACTGTTTACAATAGCAAAGACCTGGAATCAACCCAAATGCCCATTGATGATAGACTGGATTGGGAAAATGTGGCACATATACACCATGGAATATTATGTAGCAATCAGAAATGATGAGTTTGTGTGGTTTGTAGGGACATGGATGAATCTGGAGAACATCATCCTCAGAAAACTGACACAAGAACAGAAAATGAAACACCGCATATTCTCACTCATAGGTGGGTGATGAAAAATGAGATCACATGGACACAGGGAAAGGAGTACTAAACACTGGGGTCTATTGGGGGAAAAGGGGAGGGCCAGAGGGAGGGGGAGGTGGGGAGGGATAAACTGGGGAGACATGCCAAATGTGGGTGAAGGGGAAAAAGGAAGCAAAACACACTGCCATGTGTATACCTACGCAACTGTCTTGCATGCTCTGCTCATGTACCACAAAACCTAAAATGCAATAAAAAATTAAAAAAAAAAGATTTTCTGAATTCTTCTGATATTCCTAACCTCCCCCTCACCCCTCCCTGAGAGGTGGTAAAATAAATTCCAAGAGTAATATCAAACAGCACTGAGCCAGGGCCAAGTACAAATACAGGAGCCAACACATGGGCATTGCCACATCATTCCTCATCATGCATATGGAAATCCTAAGACACAAGGTCATTGATTTCTATTTCTTTTTAGCAAATCAATAAGAGAATATAATAAATTGGATCATGAGGCACTATGACTGCACAAAGTGTTGCAAGATGTGCAAGACAGCTATAAAACACAGCCCCTGAAAGTATCTGCTGCAATTCTTGATTAAATCAATAGATGACATCTTTCCTTGACAACCAGAAAATGGGAGTCACTGTCAGGTTGGGAGTTTCTAAAGAGAAACTCTAAATAAATTTGTGGCAACAGGTTCCATACCATTACTCGTATTTAGTTTTGAACACACCCACCCTATGTTTGCTTATTTAAAAAAATAAAGACTCACTGATGCAGAAATGATATAATCAGCAAGGCACTGTCAGTAAATTTGCCAACTCCCTTTGGATGGCTTATGTTGCCTGTTTCTGTGGAAAATGAATTTGTGCATGACATTTTGATGTTTGGATTATCGGATAACGCCAATTCAAAACAGCACAAAGAAACAGCTTAGGTATTTTTCCTTCTAATAATAATAATAATAAAAAGCCTAACACTTTATGAAGAAATTGTGCCCCCTGCTGATTTAATTTGATATTGTTTTTTGGCATTTTTTGTTTTTTTTTTTTTTAATTTTTTATTGGATTTTAGGTTTTGGGGTACATGAGCAGAGCATGCAAGACAGTTGCGTAGGTACACACATGGCAGTGTGCTTTGCTTCGCTTCTCCCCTTCACCCACATTTGGCATTTCTCCCCAGGCTATCCCTTCCCACCTCCCCCTCCCACTGGCCCTCCCCGTTTCCCCCCAATAGACCCCAGTGTTTAGTACTCCCCTCTCTGTGTCCATATGTTCTCATTTTTCATCACCCGCCTATGAGTGAGAATATGTGGTGTTTCATTTTCTGTTCTTGTGTCAGTTTCCTGAGGATGATGTTCTCCAGATTCATCCATGTCCCTACAAACAACACGAACTCATCATTTCTGATTGCTGCATAATATTCCTTGGTGTATATGTGCCACATTTTCCCAATCCAGTCTATGGGCATTTGGGTTTGTTCCAGGTCTTTGCTATTGTAAACAGTGCTGCAATGAACATTCGTGTACATGTGTCCTTATAGTAGAACAATTTATAGTCTTTTGGATATATACCCAGTAATGGGATTGCTGGGTCAAATGGAATTTCTGTTTCTAAGGCCTTGAGGAATCGCCACACTGTCTTCCACAATGGTTGAACTAATTTACACTCCCACCAACAGTGTAAAAGTGTTCCTTTTTCTCCACATCCTCTCCAGCATCTGTTGTCTCCAGATTTTTTAATGATCGCCATTCTAACTGGCGTGAGATGGTATCTCAGTGTGGTTTTGATTTGCATCTCTCTGATGACCAGTGAAGGCCTGCCTTGCCGCAGGGTATTGCAGTGTCTTCAAGGTCAGTAATTTACATGTCCTCTCAGAGGCTAAGGCAGCCTCTCCATGCAAATAGGAACATTTTGCTTGATAGTGACCTTGGAAAAAAGGAAGCAAAGGAGGAATGCCTCCTTTTATGAGTTATGTGGAGATATTTGTTCTAAGAACCTTCTCAGTATTTCCCGTACCTTTAGCAACTCTGAATAGGGAAAGAGAGCAAGCAGTGCAGAGAGAGGAGCTGGTTGCTGGTGAGCACATGCCCTTTGTAATTACTCTTCCCTTCAGGACCAAAGGACAGTAGAGCTCCATTTATTGATGGAGTTTATTCAGTCTGTGAAAACTATTATCACCAATGAATAGCAGTCACGATGGGGCATTCCAGATGCTCAGATGTCATTCTGTTAACTTGGTTTGAGCCATCCTCCAAGAGTCTCCAGCCCTGGACAGTTATCATTAACCAGGGATGTAGCATCAGTAACGGCAGCCTTCTTCTATGGTCCTCATTTTCATCTCGATGCTTTGTTCCTTGCGTGTTGCCTCTCCACCTGGGCTTTTAATCCGTTTTCCTAAGCTGGTACTTATTTCCAAAAAGCTGCCAAGTAATCTCCCCGGAAAAGTCAACGAACTATTTTTTTTCTGTTCTTTGTGTTTTTCTTTCTTGTGTGTTTTGCTTCGTGTGTGTGTCCTTGTATTTTGCTTATGTTCTTCTTCTGATATTTGCATCTTTAGGAGAAATTCCTGAATGAACACAGAAAGGACTTTAGCAACGCATTCAGCCTTGGAGAGAATAACGGAGGAAGTTTTCTAAGATGGGGAGGGCCTTTCCTCATGCCTCTCCTAGATAAGGCCACAAGCTGCATGGCTGCTTGTCTGCCAACTGTGATGAGAGCAGCCTCTTCCAGTCTACAGGATGCAGTACTTTGTCCAAGATTCAGTTAACAGGTAGGTAGTAAATTCTGTCTCATCTGTAACTTAAAAGGCCTTTCAGTCTTTCCAAGGGTCCTTTGCTCTTCGGTTAGAATTGCCAGATTTAGCACATAAAAGTTCAGTGCACTCACTTTGAATTTTAATATAAATTACAGATAATGATTTTAAGTATTTGTATTTGTTATCTGAAATCAGATTTAACTGGGCTCCCGTACTTTACCTGGCAGCCTGTCTTTGATTGAACTCTGTTATCACGGTGTCTGTTTTGCAGGGCATTCTAAATTGAGCTGAGTGACTGCTGAGCCAGGGCAGGAGGTCATGGGCCTTGGAGGCCACGTGGCCTGGGCGGCGCGTGTGGTACCAGCGCTGCTGTCTTAGGCGCTCACCTCCCTCTAGCGGCCGCCAAAGCCATCACACCCGCCGAGCGGAAGCCCTGCTGGAAGGCTGCTGCCGGCTCCAAACAGTGAAAGGGCAAGTCTGAGAGAGCCCACCCTCAGGGACTTTCTCCTGGAGGGCTGCGATGGAAGCCTGCAGAAGAAAGTGGCCTTGTCCCCGGTAGCGGAAACGAAATTTTCCTTGTTTCACTTAAAAATACAATGGAAAAAAATACGTCTGTACTACAGCCTAAGCTGACAGATGATGTCTAACCCTGGGCTGTACTCACCACTAAACACTGATAGATATTGTCATTTTCATGCTAAAGAGACTCCATTCACCCCAAATAATTTATCAAGGAGTATTCATGTAGACGACAAGTTTGAGAAGGTGGAGATGCTTATCTGTCTGTCTCTGTGATGTCCCTGTGCCTGATAGCCAATAAATAAATTTAAATGAATTGACATTGAAATACACTACAGGCTGGGAATTAAAAACAAAGAGGAAACTTATTCTGACATCATCGCAGAGATGATGGCTAAAGGGCTTTTATGCTCAGCAACAACTATGGAATTGGGTCTTGGAATTGTACTTTCTCTTTTAACAGGAAATGGATGGCTGGAGTCTGGGCCAATCAATGAAGGATTGATATGCATGAGATTGTTTTACAAAACACTGCTTTTAGTGTTTAATGACACAGGATAGGGTCTAGAGCTGTGGTGTGGAGCCAGAACATGGGTTCTAGAACCCAGAGATGACTCCCAGAGTGAGTTCCTTCAAGGACAGTTTCTACAACATAGGTGTTCCATGATTCCTCATTTAATGAATGCATGGGACTGTATCTATCACAACCATCGCCACACTCATTGACTTTAGTGGAGTCAAGGCAAGGGAGAGATTTCAATGAAAGAATTCTGGTGATAGGGCCCCCTATCACCAATGGCAGTATTAAGGGGTGACTAGGGGAAAGGGTAGCTTTTAGTCTCCTTCAAGCCACGCAAACAAAGATACGGAATCTAAGCAAAAGCAAATGCCTTGCTTTACAGTTTCAAGACAAATCCCCTGGAAGTTGCTCCTTTTAAATAGATTGTCTCTCAGCCTTGCTACACGGATCCTTACTGCTTAGTAACCATGTGAGCCCTGATCTGTAATCTCGCTAAGTATGGTGGTAGGTATTTGCTCAGGAAATTGAGACAATAGGTACTCACATATTTAAAAGTAACTCATAAGGAAGGGAATAATAATTACATAGAAGCATTTAATATGTTCCAGGCTCTATCTCTTGTTACCTCATTTAATCTTCACTATAACCCTATAAGGTTATTATTGCCCACATTTTTACAGATGTGGAAATGTCAGCTTAAAGAAGTGACTTGGCAAAGGTCATAAAAACAGCCAGTATGCAAATGCACATCTGCCTTATTCAATTCTTTCAACATATGTGTTGGTACTCGAATACAGGAGGAAACCTGTTAGTATACCTCGAAGCAGAATCAAATAGAAATATGTTTGCTAGAAATGAAAAAGCAAGCATCAGGGGAAAATATGGAAGGGTCAACCAAAGGGTGAATGGGCTTTGACCTTTCTCCACTGGAGCTCTGAGCAGAGGACTGGGTCTCAACAGCTCATTCTTTTAGAAATAAGTTTCTTTAGATAACAAAGGAGGAGGCAGTAATTCCAAAATCTTTCTCAACTTTTAAAATCCACACATTTTCAGGCCTTAGCTCCTGGGTATTCTGATCTAGTAGTACTGGCATGGGGCCCTGGAATCTGAATTTTTAGCAAACATGGCAAATTTGAAACCCAGGGAATTTGATGTTATCTAATGTTTAATTACTCCTCTGATCAACCGCTTAGGGTAAATTTTTAACAAATATTTGTATAAGATTATGTTAGGAAAGGAACAGCTAAGGCACTCATTGAATGAGCTGGTACATTTCTAGAGAGCAATATTAATATGTTAGCAATCTGATGTTTCCTATGCCATTTCACTGGCATTTGGCAGCTTAAAACATAGCCCCAGCGGAGATGTAAACTCCTTAAATCTGGTAATTCCACTTTATATTGGATTATAAAATGTTATGTGGGATAAGAACCTTAGACTATTCAAAGAACAGTTAATCTCATGGAAAGAAAGATTTTGGAACCAAAATGCAATAATGGTTGTTTTAACTCTATGTTCTTTCAGTCATTTGGATCCTCTATTCATTCTCTGAACAAGCATTTTTAAAGTGCTTGCCATGTTTCAGACTATGATAGGAACTATGGAGAAGGAGGAATAAGAGTTGCTTGGTTTCATTCACCCTGTGTGTCACACCTAGTGAATCCTGTGACTAAAGAGTCTGGGTAAACGAAGGTCAATAAATAAAAATAAAAAAGATTACAGATGTTCCCACAGTGAAAGTGGTCACTATGCACACTGGTGTTTACTTTAATGGACACATGAATGGGAATGGTGTCAGCACCATATTCCGAGTATCATCAGTTGACTCATGAAAAATACAAAACACTTTGAAAGGAAGTAAAGAGGCTGTGTTACATCTTCTACTTTGAGCCCCATCTTGCTGAATCAGATAGTCACTGGAATAGGCTTAATACTGAGACAAAAGAAGGATTTTGTTTGGATAAAAACAAGTATAGTTTCAAGTTTTTTGAATAGGTATTTCCTTCTTTCCCTGTTACCATATGTTGTTTTTCCTAGTTATTTAACTAGGCCATCCAATATTATCCCTCCTTGTCAATTTACACCATCCATACTCTTTTGGGTAATTAGGATTTCCTTCTTTAGGCATCACTCCTGGCACATAATTTTCTTCATCTTTAACTTGTCTTACTTATCTCAGCGTAAGAAACTCGTCTAAATACACCTATGCACTTCCTTTTACAGACAGCATCATAACATTTGTAATTTGTCTCTGTTGCAGTTGAATAAGTTACCTAGATGATTTTACATCTCCTTTTTATTTCTTTACTTATCTTCTGTCTACATTTCTGACAATGTCACCTGCTCCAATATCTAAGGTTAAATCTTTACTGGTTGGACAGGTGAGTGATTGATATATGACTAACAGGCAATTTTCCTTCAGGAAACTCAAGATTGTGTAAGTATGCCTGATTCATCCCTGCTGCTGCAACTGAAACGTGTAATAAAAGAGCAATAACAAAGAGAGACAATGATGACAGCTTAGCTGCGGCATCTCGTTCTCTAGCTCAGTAAGCCAACAGGGAAATTATGACCCTGTGAAACAAGTAGCTCTCAAAATCATTCCAGTCATTCCAAAGAGTGATGTGATTTTTCTTCACAAGTTCACAATGAAGATACTATGTTGTTTAATTAATGGTTTTTTTTCCAAAGTGTGTTCTGTTGTTTCTATATATCTCCCTTATAAGGCTCCATACTGTAATTCAACTCAATTTTTGTTCAATAGAGATTTCTTAAACACCTCCTACATGCTGAGCACTGTGCTAGGAGCTATAAATATGATTAGGTAGATACAGACATGATTGTCTTCTGGTACATTCTTTTTCTATCATTTAATCAGAGTCATCTATTTGTAAACATATTGATAATGAGTCAGAATATAAGAGTATGAGGTTAAAAGCATGGGCTCTGATCAGAGAGACTTGGTGATGAATCTTATGCTTATCACTGTCATGGTGGTCATAGACTTCCTTGCATGTACTATCGAGCCTTTATTTTCCCATTTGTGAAATAGAGACACATTAGTACCTACTTTCCAGAATCATTTTGAAGATTGAGATAAGTGCCCCAGTGTCTTGAATTTAGCAAGTGTTAAAAAAAGTGGAAGTTCTTATTAATTAATAATATGATTTTCCTGAGCATGTATGCACAAACTCACTAGTTCTCTGCTAGAAGGTGAGGGACCTCCTTGAACCTCCGAAAAAAAGCTTTTGACAAAGGTTAAAAGTAATGTGTAACTGAATTCATAACACCCTTGTTGTTGAATAGTCAACCAGGAAATGTTAGGGTTAAGATTTCTCATGACAAGTGAAATTAAGAGAATATGAACTAGTGCTGTTATGCTAAGTTCCCTTTTTTTAAAAGACATTTTCTCTGATTTATTCTGAATGAAACAAGTCTTGAGAGAGGCCATGAAATAATGGTTCTGTGGATATTAGGTCATCTTCAGAAAGTGCTATATAAAATATTATGCATTATATATTCACTTATTAGCATATTAAAAATTCAAGGAATACTAGCAGAAAAGAAGCCAGTTTTAATTTCTTATCATTTCCCAAATTCATTTGTCTGTAGGATTCTTTGTTGAATACCATCAATTACCATCTCAAGGAACACCCTTTGGGAAATGCTGCTGAGAGAAGCTAAGAACTTGCCTCACATTTGTCAAGCACTGAAAAAATTCATACTTGGGAAAATGGCAGACTATTTTTCTGACCCTGACCCTTACCAGTAGTATAATCATGGGCAAGTCACTTGATTTCTTCACATATAAAACAAAATAATAATACATTCCTTATGGATAGCCATAGAGAGAAGATTCATTACAAAATGCATTTATGGTAGGAACAGAAGTTGGCAATAAAAGTTAATATTGTCACAATACACATCCTAATTTACACCGAACTCATTGCAAGGAAGCAGGTCTTAAAAGTAAAGT